TTATTGTCAGTCTTCCTCCAGCCTCCCTGCAGGGTGTCGCACCATCAGCTCCCATCCGTAAGTACCGCAAGTCCCCTGCAACCCCTCTACAGATTGTCGCAACCCTTGCTGCCCTCCTTGATCGCCGACAGCTCCCCTGCAGCTTCTCTAAAATGTCTGAGCAAGCGATGAAAGACTTTCTCTACTTTCCTTAGGATCCTCGTTGTAGGAGATCGTGGCCTACTCATCAGTACACTATGAGGCCCAAACACATCATTCATCGTCAGGAGATAGAGTCTACCGAGGCATCTCATGGGACACTTGGTAAGGTGAATACAACCATCGTACCAGATGTTGCACCTGCTACTTCCGAGACAAATGTTGTAGGGGCACCACGCTCACCTTGTAACCTAAATTAAGGTCGAGTCTTTAATAAATAGGAGTTGAAGTATCTAGTGTTAGGAGTCTTGATTTTCAAATTTGAATTCAGATTTACCTGAGTGTTTTCTCTCTTGAGAGTTGTATCCGACGACAAGAAAGGTGCTCTGGCTATAACCCCGTCTGAGGTGGTGTTTATCTTTGTCATTCCGACTACTACCTGCTGACCTGCAGCTCACCGATGTTCCAGCCCTTCCAGCACTCCAGCTGGTAGCTTCCCTGCCTCCCTTCTACCCTCTCCGAGCGGAGCGCCTTCATTTCTCTTGCAGCCTCTTTGTAGGTTATTGTCAGTCTTCCTTCAGCTTCCCTGCAGGGTGTCGAACCATTAACTTCCATCCCTAATTACCGCCAGTCCCTTGCAACCCCTCTTCAAATTGTCGCAGCCCCTTGCTGCCCTCCTTGATTGCCGACAACTCCCCTGTAGCTTCTCTGCAGGCCATCACAACCCCTGTCGCCCTCCCACATCAGGCCTCAGTCCCCCTTTGGATCACCCAACACCTCCCTCTACTGCAACACTCCCACCTGTAGTGCGCAGCAACCTGCCGCCTCACTCAGAACAGACCGCAACCTCCATTAGGCCTTCCCAGGGCCTACAGTCGTTGCCTCCTCCATTGCAGCACTCCCACCTGCACTTCGCAGCCTCTTGCCGCCTCACTCACAGCAAGCTGCAATCTCTGCCAGGCCTTTCCAGTGCCCCCAATTGTCGCCTCCTCCATCCTACAGTTCACAGTCTTCCTTTGCCTCCGCTCCTCAGCTTCAGTGGCGTCTGTTTCTCTGCTCCTCGACTTTGGCTGTCAATCTTGTCTCTTTCCCTCAGTTTTGGCCACCATCGTTGCCTCCGCTCCTCGGCTTCGATCGCCCCCGGATTCCAGCCTTTGACGACGCTTCTTCCAGTTGCGGTTCGACGCCTCGACAAGTGCTAACTTGCTGCCTCGTTCCTCCCTAGTGGCTCGAAAGCACTCCAACCTTCACTCTCCAGCTCCACCTCTTCGCACTCTCTCATCGTCGAGCTTGTTATGTCTTTTGGGTCTTTGTTTGTAATGATTTGTTTTATGTTCTGATGTATGTAGTGTTGAGTCACTGTTGTAACCTTTTTTTAAGTCATTAATAAATTCATGTCTTGCGTTGTGGTTTGGGTTAACTCCGGTACCAATCATTTAAATCCTTAACTTTCCTGATTCACTCCTTCAGCATAATGCCAACAATATTCATGTTAATATTGCTAGCATATTGACATGATTAAAAGAAATTTTACAAACAGGTTCTCTCTGCTTACCCTCTTCAGGGTGGGCCAACTTGAGTTTCAAAATCAAACTTGTTTGTATCCCCTAATCCTCAAATAAAATTCAATCCTTCTACATGCAATTCTCATTGATGGCTTCCTTATGAAAACATCCATTTTTCTATACGTATAGACAACCTTTCTTTAATCTTCATAATATTGATCACACTTTTTATCTCTATTTGTATTTTGTGGGGTGTCTACATCTCTAATTCGTGAATTTCTAATGATCGTCATGTCTCGCATGTTGGATTCTCTACTAACATATGTTCTTCCCAAAAATGTGCCAGCCCCTATGTTGTGTGGAGCTAAGTATCTTCTATACGTTGGGATCAAGCTTTTCCCATGCGGAGATTGTGAAATAGACACCCTGTAGACAATCCTCCACCATCGTCCAGTAAAGAGTTAAGTCTTCTCTGCGAACCCTCTGCCTTGATGAAGACATCTCTTCCCTTCTCTGGCACAAGAGAATCAAAACCTTTGTAGCAATTGCTCCCCATTGATTGTTTTGTGTCCCCACATCGGCTAGTATATAAACTCCAAGGCATATCCATCTTCCTAAAGCATTGCACTCGCCATTTTTTAGACGTTCTCCAACAAGCGGATCAACAATGTGGTCCTCAAAAAAGCACACAACTATAATATTAATAGAGGATGCACTAGTAATAAAAAAAATTATAATATGATAGTGATCATGTGCTAGAAACTTTCCACAATATAAATCACAAAAATAAAAGCCTCTCTTATGTGAAACAAGCGGCTCCATAGTTGAGCCTATTCCTCGAGCTTTATCCATCTTAGCAACAATATTAGTTGCAACAACTGCCACTTTTGTGTTGTCAAGCCTGAACGCGCATAAATAATCATCTCTATTGTCTGTGTTAGAGCCATACTAGGGGGCACATGCTAAATACAATGGAAGAAAAGACATGCACATCTCCTTGGGCCGTCTTCATCCGAAGGAGGGCAATCACCGAGAATGATTTGTAAGAAGCCATCACTAGAGAGGGTGAGGATGGTTAAGAAAGAAGGAAAAAGAGCATTTTGCAATTCTCAGGTGGTTGGTGCTTCCAAAACCTATTTTAAACCTAATTGTGCTTCGAGAACCAGAGGAATTTATGTGTATACAAAAAAACAAAATAAAAAAAAAACACGCGCACACACACACACACACATCTTTGAAAAGCGATATAAAATCATCATTTCTTTCCTTCAATAGAGTCAAGAATCAAGTTAGCAAAAGTAATCTAAAGACACTCAACATCAACTGAAAATCCTTCTTAGATTAAGCAAATTATGGCTGTGGCTTATTAACCAATAATCACAATCACTTGGTGCCAGGTCATGTTCATACAATTCTTGTTGGTTTGATGAATTGGATGACAACAGTAACTTAGCCGGTTGGCCATATGTAAACCCCTCGAAGTACTAAATAACTAATGAGAGTAGTACTACAACCATTCTCAAAAGTCTCATAGCCTCACATAATGCAAATCTCAATGAATTACCCAAATTGATTAATTACATTATACAATAAGATTAAATGCATCACAACTCCAAAAGGAAATATGATGTCATAAATCAAGTAACATCTCCAAATGCTCAAAGGTCAACCACTCAGCATCTATGAACAAGCATATTTATGCCTCAAATGAAAATGGATTATTTTCTGTGTTTTCAAACTATAAAAGGGTATGAGATTATTAGAGCTTGATGAAGGATTTAAGAAATGAAATGAGATCATTACCTCTCAGATAGGTTGTCTAGCTTTCTTCTTTTAATTCCACTTCTATGACTGACTCAAATTCATCTTCTTGAGCATTTCGATCACCATGACCTCCATGTTAACACAAATTTGATATTTTACAATAGGAAGCGTGCTTGTTCATTAGCCTGAATGAGATTTGTTAATTAATCAAAAAGGCTCGTCATTTGCGAAGAGCTCGTGTTCAGCTGATTAAGTAGCTCGTGTTCGATTTGTTAGTTAATCAAGCGAGTCGGACACAAACATTTTTTTATGAGCTCGATTCATTGACGAGTTGAACATGAACAATTTTTTATTCGATTGTATTCGATTCATTTTAACTCGAATTACAAAAATAATTAAACAATTAATACTATTATAAAATTCTTTTTTTTGATTTTTTAGATTGTATTTGAAAAAATATTAAATTTTATTATTTTTTTAAATCAATCGATCTAATTTCAAGAAAAATGAGTTGAAACGAACAAAAAAATTCAAATTGAGTTGAACATGAATGTGCTATTCACAAGCTATTTCAAACACGAGTCTATTTCAAATAAATAAAATTTCAATCGAGCAAACACGAACAAGCTCTGGGCTCGCTTAACTCGGCTTTTTTACACCCCTACACTGAAATAAGCTCATGTACAACGTGATTCCACATGCGAAATATTGAGAGGAATGTTGTTACTCCACAACAAAATTCATAAGATCTCTTGATATGTTGTTGCTACAATGATTGTCGAGATTCAGAAAAGGTTGTTAGAAGGTCATTAGAAATAATCTGTCAAAAAGTATATCAGCTATTGCCTTGTTTGAATGGTTAAATATGTTTTTTTCCTTAGGCCTTTGACTTCTTGAGTCTCTAGTGCTCAGATGAACTCATGCCTGACTTGTGTATCAAAGATCACCTGCCATTATTTTTCATGCTAACATCCATAAAATGAACTCATTTCTTACAATTTTTTATCAATTCTAACAGAATTGTAAAATACATGGAAACATCAACTTCGTGCTCTCCAAGATTTATGGCAGAGAAGAATGTCCGGCAAGTGATATTCATGGAAGTGGAAATGACATTAATATGATATATTTTCTAATGAGCCCAACATATCACCTCATATATCAAATATGTTTAGCTTCTAAGCAATAAAGTTGAGAATCTCCTTTTAGTTTATAAGCAAGTGTAAGAGAAATATAATGAAAACAGATATTTCAGAAACATTTATTAATTCTTTTGAAATATGGAGAAGACATAATATTTTTTCATAGGGGCTATTCATAACCCAAATCTTCACATTCAAAAAGAAGGCACACTACCAAACAAGCTGACCCTCACTATGAGAGATAATAAAAGTTTTCATATCATATAAACATCCTACCGGTATTTGATGAGCAATAAATTGAAACTTAACATCTGAAATGCACGACATGAATGGACATTCATGAAGAAAATTGAATACTAAATTCAATAAAATACTTACGGGGTGAATTTAAAGCTTCAACATTTCATCAATCAATAAAACAAATTGTAAAGAAAACACAAGCAATTATTACCTTCCAGAGTATGCTTCCACGGTGCAGACCAACCCTGAAATAATAATCATTCAAAGTAAATAAGATACAAAATCTCCAGTATTGTTGGTACTCATAATGAGATAGACAACTGTAAATACAAACACCTCTGGAACAACTTGGTTCAGAAAAGTTTCAGTGTCGTGTCTAACATCTGAATCACAGTTCTCATTTATGGTAAGGGAAGCACTTGTATGATGCACTGAAAAAAAAAAAAAAAAAAAAAAAAAAAAAAAACTCCACATTAAAAACATAAATTGAAGGAATATCTATCAAAGCTTACACCATAGCAGTTTAAAAAGAGCAAAATTTTATAGCTTACAGAAAAGATGCGCAAGACCACATTTGAAAATGGAGAGATCTTGTTCAATCTCCCTAACTATCTGATAAAGACCAATCAATCACTAATGAACTCGGTCAGATAAAATTGTGAGAATCAAAGATCATATACACAAAAAGAGCACCAAGATAGCTGTTTTATTTTAGAAAAACTTAAATCATGCAACCAAAAGCTTCTTATATTCCTAAATATATGGAATAGACATTAGCTAATGAATCATGACGAGAAGTCATTCATGCGCATTAGAAAAATGAACAAGGAAATATTTTTCTTATTATTCCAACTCTATTCTTTAATTGTATTGTCATATTGCATTCTTTTTATTTTGTTGGTGCCTTCTTTTGCCGTAGTAATAATAATAATAATAATAGTACAATAATAATGAATAATCCATTCTGAAGATCATTTTTTTAATCAACCAATAGTAGTTGTTGGCTTGAACTATATTTGTGGATGATATTAAGATTTGATGACAAGCATATACCAAAAGAAAATTAAGAAATAGATGAAACTAGAGAGAAAGAGAGCATAAAGGAGAAGTGTTGGCTTTCACTATAAGCACAACAATGTCTACATATATGGTGCCTTAGACCCATCCTCTGAAAACTTATTAGTTTACATAAAACTAATGTATGCCCAAGAGTGAACTCATCCAAAACTAGAGCAAGCATCACTAGTTGGGATCTAGGAAGACTCGCCTGTTGAGCTCAAGATAAAGTCACCATGCTGGAATGGACTAGCAAACCATGTATGAGAAGAACTTTCCCAATTGTCTTCAAGGCGTCTACCCGCCGAACTAGGGAGACTCTCAAGCCAACTAAGGATAAGAATATTCACTAGGTAAAAAGAAGAACTCATACAAAGCCATCACTAAGATCGTTGGATAGACTAAAACCAGGTAATCATTTATATGCCTATAGAAGCTACTCGATACATACTTTGAGAAGAACAAGCAACTCTTCTACACAACTGACTATTAGTCCAAGTCCAAATCTTACATCTACAACTCATCCGTTAGCTTTTCCGATAAATCTCAACAAATATACTTCGAGGAGACCGAACTACTCTTCTGCACAACAGACTATTAGTCCCAGTTAAATTCTTACATCTATGGCTCATCCTATAACTTTTCCTTTAACGCTCAAGACACAATATCCCTATCTGTAAAGAGGTAATTTTAGGGAGAACCAAGGGTTTTGAGTGATTTCAACTTTGGTCGTGTTTTGGGTTAAAATTATGCTCCTATATTTTGTATTCAAGCTTCTTTAGAAAATTTTTGTTTGTCTACTTCTATCTCCCATTTCTTTTGAATTAGTAACATTCAAGAAGAACTCATGGACAAATCAGAATCCAAAATGTAAAATATTATATAGAAAATTAATTAAAAAAATACATAATAATGATTTAACTAACGGTTGTAGTAAAATGAATGAGTCCAGCTAGAATACAGCATATTAAGCATATGAAGAACTCAAAAAAGTTCTAATTAAAGGATGGGATTTAGAAAAATCTCTAGCGACTTTGCTAGGAGCTTTAAGACTTAAAGCAAACTCATTTGACGATTTGGGTGAATAACCTTGATTACTTCAAGTGAAATTTGTACAAGAGTTTTGTCAAGCATTGCAAGAATGTTTCATATAGCTTTGACAGATTGAGCTCATTGTCAAGGTCGTTCTTTGGCAGCATATACTTAATGGCCAATTGAACCTCTTTAACGAGTCAAATTCATGGAGCTTTAAGACAAACCAAACTCATTCCACAATTTGGGCGAATAACCTTGATTACTTCGAGAGAAACTTGTGCCAAAACAAGAATTTTGTTAAGCATTACAAGAATGTTCCAAATATTTTTGACAAATTGAGCTCATCGTCAAGATCATGTCTTTTGGCAGCATATACTTAATGGCGAACTGAACCTCTTTAACTAGCCGAATTGCTTTGAACTCTCTATTAGTGATCAAATAAACTTACTAACTCAACCCAGGTGATCGTAGCATACCTAAATTTGAACCACGAGAAAGTACTACATAATAATTTCAATTTACTTTAAAACCTAATTATGAATTTATGATCCAGTTTATGAAAAAATAAAATTAAAAAATCCGCTTGAATTACAGTATTTGCAAATCTCATCTCTTGCTATGGCGTTACTGACCGGAGAGAAAAAAAATGTAACGAAAATTCTAGCGAAAAAACAAAAACAATCCAGAGCCAGACCAAGATATACAGGAACAGGAACTAACTTCGGCTCCCTTTTTCTGGATGTAAACAATAGAAAAAATGGTAAGAAGGGAGCGTGGCTTCGAAGAAAATTTAGAAAAAAAAACGAGGATGAATATAGGCCCAAAATCCAAAAGTTAAGACGACAAAAGGGAATGGATTGATTACTTTGGAGGTGACGATATGACAACCGCGCCTCTGGGGAGGTATGACGACGGTCTTTTGAGCCCACTTGATCGACGGAATTGCCTTCGAGCTCGAGCTGGAAGCGTTGGTTGAAATCGACGGATCTGCAGAGGCGTAGTTGCGCTGCGCCCTAACACAGAAAGAAGGCGGCGTCGGACGAGAGATGGACGGCGTTGCTAAGAAAGCGGCGGCGGACTGCATTTCGCCCTGGATTGGCGGCGAGGAGGAGCAGAGATTGAGGATAACGCCCTGAGAAGAAAGGAGGCGGCCCTCGGAAAGCCTGAATATGCAAGGGTTAATACTTGGTGAGCGTTTGGAGATGATAAACGGGTCTTCTGGGCTTAATAGAAGTCGTGCATTTAATGGTTCAATGATGACCATATCAATCATATCTTTGTAGTGACAAATTACATAATTCATTGTCGCCATGAATGATCCCACGAGTAATTCCAAAACACGTGAGCATTTATGTGAGTTCATCAGGACAAATTCATCGGGCCTTAATTCTTAAGCGAGTTTCTCCATTCGAGCTTGTCGAGTTCTTATTCCAAACTCACATGAACTGGTTTGACCTTTCCACCAAGCTCGTCGATTATTACCTCACTACACATTGAGCTCGACGGGCAGCTATTTGAGGCAGGGGAAAGAGAACTCTAGTTTTTTATCATACTAATCGTCATTTATTAAAAACATGACAATTCACACCAACGATCTTGTCAACAATGAGCCTTCTCAGGCTCTGTAATATACGAACTATAGCCTAGTTTTATATTTCATTTTATATTTCATTTCTTAGAGTGCTTAGGCTACGTATCATATAAATGAGAGGAAAAAGGGAAGAGAGATATGTCTCTATCCTATATCATAAAAAAACTCTTGACTATCTAAAAAATATTATGTCATGACTCCTAATACATTAGGAGTTCAATGATAGGACACCACTTGTCAAATGATCCTCAAAAAAGTGTATTACGGTGGGATCATTTGATACGTGGCGCCCTACCATTTGACTCTTGACATAATATTTCCACAGTGAGATCATTTGATACGTAGCGCCCTACAATTTGACTCATGACCTAATATTTCCTTGACTATCTATATCTGAGAAAATATTTTCCAAAGTCTCTTCCGGAATATAGGAGTTCATAACCATAATTCACATCTTATATATTAACACCTAAAATACATAAATGTAAATTGATGAATATATAACTATAGACAGGAAAGTACCAGGCAACCTACTACCATGTTCACTTGGTAGTCCGTACCCATCTCTCTAAACCCACTTTTAAAAAGAACGCGAACAGCTCTGTCATCCCGAACTCTCAATCCCCTCATTTCTCCAATTGAAAGTCCATGCGGCTCTTCTCCGTCAATCTCCTCATCCTCCTCTCCCTCTCCAACTCTCGCCTATTCGCTTCTTCTTCCCCCTCCAACAACCTCTCCTTCTCTTTCTCCTCCTTTGATCGATCCAACCACAATAACTTCAACTTCTCCAACGATGCTGGCGTGAGTCAAGGCGCCCTCCAGGTAACCCCCGACACCTTCAACGACCTCAGCTATCTCCTG